TGTCAATGGATTCTGAAAATATTTGAACTATTACAAAAACTTTAACATAAGTGGTTACGCCGACGCGGACGCCGACGCTCGGGTGACTACAATAGCTCTACTTATTCTTATCGAATAGTCGAGCTAAAAATGAAAATTATTTTAAGGGCAATAACTCTGACAAAAATCAATGAACCGGAAAATGCTGACAATATGCACAACTAGACTTGGTACAGATCATTCTTGTAAGGTTTGGATGAAATTGCATCAGTACAGACAGACGGACAGACACATGACGGAGAAGTGATCCCTATATGTCGCCACTACTCCGTAGAGGCGACACAAAAACGATTAAAAAAACAAACATATAATAACGGCCCAACTTTTTTGTATACTTCCTTATGAAATAAGAATAATTCAGATTATATAAACTTCATAAACATTAACCGCCTCCGTGGTCGAGGGGTTAAAGTCGATGACTTCTAATCCAGTTACCTCTCTGGCATGGGTTCGATCCCCGGGAGATGCCTTGGTAGTTTAGCGCAGAGGAAGGTAGTCTAGTACTGGTGTAACTCTCCAGGAACGATGGTTAGGAAACTACCCGCCTATATGACTGAAATACTGTTGGAAAAAGGCGTAAAATGAAACAAACAAACAAACTTTAAATGTCTCTAGTCCTATTAAATCACTGCAACAGTTCCAAAAGAAAACAAAAGTTTTTGTCACTGTGTGACACGGGAATTGCGGGAAATCATCGGTTATTCTTTCCTTTTGATATTAATGAATCAAGTTGTCTACTTTTGTTTTCACTTGTGATATTTTCATAAACGAAGAATTTTCGACAACATTTTTTTTTGAATGAATAATAACATGTACATGCGTTTAAGGAATTTAGTTGAAGGGTAGAGCATTATATTAACAAGATATGTTTGTAAAACATGTATGCCCCCTATGGACAGCCAATTAGTCATGTGATCAGGTTATTATGCATGACTTCTGACCCAGTGAATAAAAAATTAATAAGGGTTATCTACTGGTCATGACTAGTAAAAAGGTAATAATTATTGTGACCCCATAGGTTGTGTTCAGCAATTTAAGTTATTACAAATCTTACCAATACATTTTATGAATCATGTAGGCCTCTTTAATGACAGCCAATTTGTTATATTACATAAGACATTCAAATGTGAATACAAAATTTTTTTTAGTTTAATATAAAAATATCAACCAAGGCAACTTGAGTTGTTGAGTAACTGGTCAGAAACCATCTTAAAGTACAATATTGACACTGACCCCTTGACCCCAAAATCAATAGGGGTCATCTACTGGTCATGACCAATCATCATATAAAGTTTGAAGTTCCTATGCCTAAGTGTTCTTCAGTTATTGATCAGAAACCGTTTTTACTTACAAGGTCAATGTGACCTTGACCTTTGACCCAAAAATCAATAGGGGTCATCTACTGGTCTTGACCAATCATCAAATAAAGTTTAACCCTTTACCTCATATATACGCGAAACAACGCACTTTCGACCCCCCCCCCCCTTTTTAAGCCTGAAATAGTGAAAAAAATGTCCTATTTGGGCCCCAAACACATGGTTTCGTTTGAGAAATGTTGCTTAAAAAAGTGAGCACTTTTCCGGCGCCGCCCCCTATCCAAAAGATACATCAGGGGGTTGCCAGAAGGGGGATGTGCCCTCTTCTGTTTGGGGGGTTTGAAAGGGGGGGCGGAGACCCCCTCATTGCCAAGAAAATTTTGGACTTGTGAGAGGCTTAAAATGACCCCAGGTCGATCATAAGGTAATGTGTAACCAACGCTGAAAAGTCTTTGACTCTATCTCAATCCCTTGAGAATTTGCAGCACTTTGAAATAAATTTTGATGAAAAAAATAGAGGCAAAAAAGTGATTTTTGGTAATTTTGAGATGTCCCCTCGTTGCCATGGTAACAGGAAATTTAAGACTTAGCATGTCGTTACAAAGGCAATTGCCCAGTCAACATTTGTGCCAAGTTTGATTAATATTGAAGCATTTTTCATAGTTTCATAGCAGTTTGAACTTGTAAGAGGAGGCTTTTCAGTGAAAATGGCCATTTTTCACAATATGCTTATGGGGGAAAGGGTTAACTAAAAAAATTATAAATGTTACGAAACAACAATTTTTCACTAAAATTAGGTAACAGACCACATGTTAACATGGAAAAAACTAGATTTTGGGTGATTCCAAAGTTTTTCATCATTTTTTATTAACACTTTACCTCATGTATACGAGAAACAACGCACTTTCGACCCCCCCTTTTTTAGGCCTGAAATAGTGAAAAAATGTCCTATTTGAGCCCAAACACATGTTTTCGTTTGAGAAATGTTGCTAAATAAAGTGAGCACTTTTCCGGCGCCGCCCCCAATCCAAAAGATACATCAGGGGGATGTGCCCCCTTCTGTTTTCCCCAAGAAAATTTGGACTTGTGAAAAGCTTAAAATGTCCCCAGGTCGATCATAAGGTAACGTGTAACCAACGCTGAAAAGCCTTTGACTCTATCTCATTCCCTTGAGAATTTGCAGCACTTTGAAATAAATTTTGATGAAAAAATCGAGGCAAAAAGTGATTTTTGGCCATTTTAAGATGTCCCCTCGATGCCATGGTAACAGGAAATTTAAGACTGAGCATGTCGTTACAAAGGCAATGGTCCAGTCAACATTTGTGCCAAGTTTGATTAGTATTGAAGTATTTTCCATAGTTTCATAGCAGTTTGAACTTGTAAGAGGAGGCTTTTCAGTGAAAATGGCCATTTTTCACAATATGCTCATGGGGGAAAGGGTTAAAGTTCCTAGACCTAAGCATTCTTCAGTTATTGATTGGAAATATTGCCAAAAATGGGTACAGGGAAGTGTTCAATTATGGAAAAATCAACGGAAAACATTTTGACATTTAAGGCCCATGTGACATTGACCTTTGACCTAATGACCCCTTGATCAATAGAGGTCATCTACTACTTATGACTAATAACTAGATGAAATATGAAGACTTTGTGATGAATACTTTTCAAGATAATCAGCGGAAACCCTTTTGACATTTAAGGCCCCTGTGACCTTGACCTTTGACCTAGTGACCCGAAAATCAATAGGGGTCATCTACTAGTGATAACCAATCACTTTGTTAAATATGAAGACTTTGTGATACATACTTTTCAACATAATCAGCGGAAACACCTTTGACATTCCAGGCCCCTGTGACCTTGACCTTTGACCTAGTGACCCCAAAATCAATAGGGGTCATCTACTAGTGATAACCAATCACTTTGTTAAATATGAAGACTTTGTGATACATACTTTTCAACATAATCAGCGGAAACACCTTTGACATTCCAGGCCCCTGTGACCTTGACCTTTGACCTAGTGACCCCAAAATCAATAGGGGTCATCTACTAGTGATGACCAATCACTATGTGAAATATGAAGACTTTGTGATACATACTTTTCAAGATAATCAGCAGAAACCATTTTGACATTTAAGGCCCCTGTGACCTTTGACCTAGTGAATCATTTAATCTATAGGGGTCATCTACTAGTTATGACCAATCACTGTGTGAAATATGAATACTTTGTGATAAATACTTTTCAAGATAATCAGCAGAAACCATTTTGACATTTTAAAGTCCCTGTGACCTTGACCTTTGACCTAGTGACCCCAAAATCAAAAGGGTCATCTACTAGTGATGACCAATCACTATGTGAAATATGAAGACTTTGTGATACATACTTTTCAAGATAATCAGCGGAAACCATTTTGACATTCCAGGCCCCTGTGACCTTGACCTTTGACCTAGTGACCCCAAAATCAATAGGGGTCATCTACTAGTGATGACCAATCACTATGTGAAATATGAAGACTTTGTGATAAATACTTTTCAAGATAATCAGCAGAAACCATTTTGACATTTTAAGGTCCCTGTGACCTTGACCTTTGACCTGGTGACTTTAAAATCAATAGGGGTCATTTACTAGTGATGACCAATCACTATGTGAAATATGAAGACTTTGTGATACATACTTTTCAAGATAATCAGCGGAAACTATTTTGACATTCCAGGCCCCTGTGACCTTGACCTTTGACCTAGTGACCCAAAAATCAATAGGGGTCATCTACTCGTGATGACCAATGACTATGTGAAATATGAAGACATTGTGATACATACTTTTCAAGATAATCAGCGGAAACCGTTTTGACATTTAAGGTCCCTGTGACCTTGACCTTTGACCTAGTGACCCCAAAATCAATAGGGATCATCTACTAGTTATGACCAATCACTATGCGAAATATGAAGACTTTGTGTTAAACACTTTTCAAGATAATCAGCGGAAACCATGTGGTCTACCGACGGACAGACCAATGGACCGACAGACAGACCGACATTAGCAAAACAATATACCCCCTCTTCTTTGAAGGGGGGTATAAAAAAGACAAAAAGTCGAGCTAAAAACTGCCAGATTTTTTAAAGCCACTATACAATCATATTGTGACCATCTATAGTGTGTAGGATTTTTAACATAACATTTCTACTTTGTGTGAACTCAAAACATGTTTTTTTTATATATTTACAAAGAAACTGTGTAGCAATTATCAATATTTTCTAAAATAAATTTAGAGCGTTGTATATACTACTCTAGCTCAAACATTTTGAATAATAAAGGTATAAATGTTTCCTTGATTAGGGGTCATAAGTGTTGTTCTCCTTTCCTGAAATTAATCAGGTGCTGGCAATTAATTTTTCCTAGAAAGTGTAAGTGAAAGTATTAGTTATATTATCATGTGATGTGACTCCAAACATGTTAGGTTAAAGACAAATAAGTGGGATAAAAAGCCACGTCGATTGACTATAAGCAATTTTCATTTTTGTTTTCATGAAGAAATTATGGCCAAGCAGATTTTAAAATATAAATCAGGAAGGAATAAGAGACCAGAAATGTCATTTTATAAAACTTTTACTGATTCATTGTCCTGGAATAATTTAAAATATTCTCACCTGCTTCATTATCATTGCATGCCTCAGGAAAACTACCATCCTTCGGTTGCCTTTTTTTTATTTCTATAAGAGCAACCTCCATTCCAGATTCAGACTCACTTCCTTCTTTGTAAATAGCCAGAACAACTTCACCAAACTCTGACATGCTTTCATCTATACCTGCATCTATAGGCTGATAAACCTTCTTTTGTAAACTTAAGACTTTAGCATCTTTCATCCTTGCTAATTCAGCACTATCACAAACAACATGTGCACTTGTTATTCCACATAATCCATGCACTGAATGGTTTATAAATCCTCCAAGAGTTCCCCCGAAGATTTTATTTCCGATTGAAACATTGGCATGTATTGCAACACCCATCTTAAGATGTTCATGGTAATGGTTTGGTCCTCCTATAAATGGTTCAAATTCTCCCTCCAAAACATCTGTTGGGAATCCATCAATTTCTTTTTCAAATGGTGTCTCATTTAGAGGTATATATCCCTTTACTGAAACATAGAGAGCTATGCAAGGTTCAATCTTAATGTCATGCTTGCCTGACGTATAACCTACTGATTTCATCAAACTTGGCAAAATCACATTTAGATTACTATGTTTTTGAAGAAGATCATCAGCATTCTTGTTTACACATTTTCTAATATTTTCCAGAACAGCATTAGAAGATTGAATGTCACTTGGATCAGATTCCATTTCTTTAACAGCTACAATTTTCATTTCAGAACTGTCATTTTCACTTTTGATGTAGCATTCATAATTATATTTGGATACCAAAAATATGGAATTTTTCTTAACCACTACTACAAAAACAATAGACACATAGCTACTTGAAAGTACATGATCATTTTGATAGGATGGCCATACATCAATCACATTTTCTGATTTTTTAATGATTTGATAGCTTATCATAGAGCATATTTCAGAAAGTATGTGTGAACCTACTCCAAATACACGACAAGCCTTGTGCAACTCTCTTTGAGATGGTAAAATTTCTCTATCAATTAATTGTTTTGCAGCTGTCTCACTTCCTCTTGTAATGCATCTATCCCATTCACCAGATTTCTCTAGTACATTTATAAAAGAAAAGTGGTCTGAAGTCTGGTCTGAAACAAAATTTGAACTTTTACTATAATGTATGATGTTTCATTTGTCTAACACAAATTTTTACAATTTTCCAGAAACCAATTTACTCATTTTTTCTATTTCTAGTGACAGTGACCTCGTCCTTGATCACAGGGGGTCCAAGAGCAATCCCGACTTGGGTCTACTTATCAGCTTGCTGTTTGATCACAATACTTCATTCCTATCTCTAGTAACTGTCCCATAGTACTGCTGTCCCAAAAACATTTTAATTTGAACTTATATTAGTGCCATAACCTGAGGAGTCAAAACCCAATACAACCTGGGGTTCCAATAAGCATGATTTATACCAAGTTTGATTACAATATCTCATTGCTTACTCAAGTTATTGTCTGAAAACCATTTTTATATTTTTTGACAGTGACCTTGACCCAAGGGAGTCCAAGCAATCACACCTGTGGTCTTCTAATTTGTTTGCTATATATCAAATTTAATTACAATATCTCATTCCCAACACTAGTTATTGTCCTGAAACCATTTTTTGATTTTTAGTAATCAGGTGACCTTGACCTTATTTCCGTAGGGTCTAATAGCAACCACAACCTGTTTTCATATAAGCTTGCTAAATATGCAGTTTGATCGCAATATCTCACTCCTAAGCTCTTGTTACTGTCTGGAAATCATTTTCTATCTTTAGTTTTGGTGACCCTGACCTTGTGCCAAGGGGTTACAAACGCAAAATCAGCACACGCCTTCATATAAGGAGGCTATTACTATATCACAATATTGTCTGGAAACAATTTTCTTGTTTTATTACCAGTAACATTGACCTTGATCCAAAGAGGTCAAAAAGCAATCTTTTTCTGAGTCTTTAGGGTTTTCACATAAGGTTTAGTCTGGTCATTTTAAATGACTTTTTCAAAGAGTTGTTGTGCCAAATTCATAGACATTGATAGCAAAAATAGGTCAAAGACAGAAAAGGTACTGTATACAAAATATCATGAAGCTGTGATGTTACGAAAATATTCTACCATTGACCATAAATGTTTAAATTTTTTCTATGTCAGTAAACAGGAAGTGAATGAGCGACAGATCTGAATTTGAATCCCACAGTATGGGACCAAGCGTTAATGCTGTATACCAAATATCAAGAGGATATGATAAAGTAGTTGCTGAGAAAATTGTTACGAACATGTCCTACCATTGACCATGAGTGTGAATTTTTTAACTACAGAAAAAAGGCTTGTGCAGTTACATAAAATCTCCAATATATGCCAAAATACCGGTAATATACATCTGACTGCATTATCATTCCTAAAATTTCTATTCCATTAGAAGTGTAGGAGTAGTCTAAACAAATTTTACTAAAACAAAATGTGACTATTAATAGATCTGACCGCCATTTTGAGCAGCTGAGCGGAATGGGCAGGCGATATGCACAACTAGGGATGGCATGGATCACTTCTGTGAAGTTTTATTGAAATCCCACTAGCATTTGACCTGCGAAGCCGAAAATAAACTTTTCATTCATATCTCTGGTAGCAGTTTGTGCAGCGGAGTGGAACTTGCTTAAGATATGCACAACTAAGATGGTAATGATCACCACTGTGAAGTATCACTGGTGGTTTTGGAGATGAATTGCAGACAATATTTTGCTATTTATCACTTTGGTGGCCATTTTGTGCAGCTGACCAGAATGTGCCGGCGATATCCACCAAAAGAACTTTTATACTGATCACTCATGTGAAGTTTCACTGAAATCTTCCTGAAGCAGTTTTGGCAATGAATCTTGGAAAATATTTTTCTATTTATAGCTTTGACGGCCATTTTGTGCAACTGACCAGAACGTGCAGGCGATTTGCACAACAAGGGATGGTTCTGATCACTACTGTGAAGTATCACTGCAATTTTCCAGTGGTTTTGGAGATGAATCACAGACAATATTTTGCTTTTTAAAGGTTTGGTAGCTATTTTGTGCAGCTAACCGGAATGTGTAGGCGATATGCACAAGAAGAAAATTGATACTGATCACTCCTGTGAAGTTTCACTAAAATCCCCCAAGCAATTTTGGGGAGAAGCGTGGAAAAGATTTTTCTATTTATAGCGGCCTTTTTGTGCAACTGACAGGATCGTGCTGGCGATTTGCACAACTAAAGATGGTACTGATCACTACTGTGAAGTTTACTGAATTTCCCCTAGCAGTTTTGGAGATAAATTGCGGACAAGATTACCGGACAGAGGGATGGAAGGACAGAGAGATTACCATATGCCGCCCTTCGGGAGCATTAAAATGTTTGAGCGGAAAACTTATGTAGTATGCACATGTACTTGACCTACCATTCAAACATGTTATGTGCCATTGATATTTAATTAAAGGTATAAGAGTTGTTCTGACAAACTTTAAAAATAACAAGAAATGTCGAACAACACATATGCCCCTCTTTCTAGCCCTTGGCTCATACTAATGATAATTTTGTCATATAGAAACATGCTATAAACAGGTACATTTTGGGAAAGAGAAAAAAAGACCAATATATGACCTGACAAGAGCCACCGCCAGGCAGGGGCAACGCTTGACATTTTGCTTTCTCTAAAAGCAAACAAAGAAATGTTTGAACTTAATCTTAACATTTCCTTTTTATAAAATTAATTGGTCTGTCTTGTCACATAAGTTTTGTCTATAAAAATAGAATTACGCAATTCTTTAAAAAGAAAATTCTATAAATAGAAAAATGCAATTATATAAATAGAAACACGCAATTATTATCACATGGTGATGTCACGCGGTTGACACATGGTGGTGTCTTGTGGTGGTGTCACGTAAAGGAGTCCTGTGTGGTCAAATGGTGGAGTCACGTAGTGGTGTCTTGTGGAGGTGTCACGTGGTGGTGTCACCTTGTTGAGTCACTTGGTAAAGTAACGTGGTGGTGCCACTTGGTAAAGTCACGTGGTTGAGTCACGTGGTTGTGGCACGTGGTTGAATCACGTGGTGGAATCATGTGGTGGTGTCTTGTGGTGGTGGCACATGGTGGTGTCACCTGGGTGCTATCACATGGTATAGTCATATTGTGGAGTCACGTGGTGAAGTCACGTGATTGAGTCACGTGGTGGGTTCGTGTCACGTGGTAAAGTCACGTAGTGGTGTCACATGGTGGTGTCACGTGGTGGTGTCACTTGGTAGAGTCATGTGGTGGTGTCACGGGCTTGAGTCACGTGGTAAAATCACGTGGTGGTGTCATGTGGTAGTCATGTGGTAGAGTCACGTGGTAGAGTCACGTGGTGAAGGCACGTGGTGGAGTCACATGGTCATTAAAAGGCCCAAGTGTTTGATAAACAACAAGGTCTTGTCCTTAAGTATGTTCTGTTATAATATGAAGTTGATCCCTTCAATAATAGCAAAGTTACAGCCAAAACAATGAAAATTTCAATAATTTGAACTTCAAAGTCAATGTCATTAATGAGTGAAGGTCAAGGTCTGTCTGCTTCTTTTTAAGGAATATCCTTGAAGATTATTATGTTCAAATTTGAAGACAATCCATTCAAAAATAACAAAGTTACAGCCAATAATGGCCAAAAAAATGAAAATTTCAATAATTTGGCCTTCAAAGTCAAGGTCATTTATGAGTGAAGGTCAAGGTCTGTCTGGTTATTTTTAAGGGATATCCTTGAAGATTATTATGTTCAAGTTTGAAGACAATCCATTCAATGATAACAAAGTTACAGCCAATAACAGCATTAACAGGCAAAAATTGTACTTTTAACCTTGAAGGTGAAGGACATTTATGGATGAAGGTCAAGGTTAGTGTTGTCTACTGAAAGGTCTTGTCCCAAGGGTTGTTGTGGCCAAACATGAAGACAATACACCAAGAAATACAAAAGTTAATATCCAGGTACAAGTTTGCGGACGGCAACGGGAACGGCAACATCGCCGCGACTATAGCAATACCTGTACTTTAAAAAAAAAAATGGGGTGAAAATGAATGAAAGCTATCATTAAGAAGTTATACAAGTTGGAAGGTAAAATATATATTATCACATAAATGTAACTATTCTGACATTAAAGGCTTTTGACCTAGTGACCCCAAAGTCAAAAGAGGTTATCTACTTAAGTTATGGCCAATCAATAAGTGAAATATGAAGACTTTGTGATAAACAGTTTTTCAGATGAGCAGAAACCATTCTGTCATTTAAGGCCCCTGTGAACTTGACCTTTGAACTTGTGACACCTTAAACAACAGTGGTCATCTGCAAGTTATGAACAATTAGAATGTGAAACGTGAAGACTTTTAAAGGAATAGTTTTCTAGAAAATTAGTAAAAAACATTGTGATATTTAAGGCAACTGTGACCTTGACCGTGGACCTAGTGACACCATAATCAATAGGGTTCAAGTTTTAATTATGGCCAATCAGTATGTGAAATATGAAGACTTTGAGATATATAGATTTTCAAGATAGTCAGTGGAAATCATGTAATCTACAAATGGACAGACCGTCATGCACAACTAGAATTGGTACTGATCGTTCTTGTAAAGTTTGGATGAAATTGCACTAGTAGTTTTTGAGAAGTAGTCCAGACAAGCTTTTGTGGCAACACACAAAAAATTAATCTTTTTATTCAAGAGTCATAACTCTTCTTAAAATCATTCTACCAGAAAACCGGTGCAATAAACACAAGAACTTGAGCTAAAGATCAATCCTGTAAAGGTTCATTGAAATTGAATTGTGGTTTAAGAGAAGAAATGCGGACAAACTATCAAAAAATTATTAAAGGGCAATAACTGTGACAAAAATCATTGAACTACAAAATGCTGATGATATGCACAACAAGACTTGGTACTGATCATTCCTGCAAATTTGAATAAAATTGCACCAGTAGTTTCTGAGGAGTAGTCTGCACAAGTTTTGTGACAGACGGACAAGCATCTACTAAATACTTTGGGGTGCATAACAAGAGCTGTCGTAGGACAGCAATGCTCGACTGTTCGATAGAGTTGTCACAAAGATGTTTCATTTGGTATAAAAAGGGACATAAATATGTAAATAAGTAAATCAGAGTTGTGGGACCTGTGCAAATCATGTTAAAAATCAGAGTGAAAATGTATGTTGAGTTTCATTCCATTCCCTTCAGTAGTAAAGAGAGATACCAGCTTACAAGCAAAAAGCTCACCATGATTTTCATTGAGTATAAAAGGGGCATAAATTTGGAAATAAGCAAATCAGAGATGACCGATGACAGCATGCTCGACAATTAGAACAGTTATCAAAATAATGGCATTGGACTAATGGAAAGGACAGGAATTGAATGCAGGTCTACCTTTTGACAGAGATATGTAAAACTTACATGTAAACATTAACTAAGAGACTAAGTAAACAAGGGGGCCATTGGCCCCAACGCACACATCTGAGTACTAAATGCAATTGATATACAAAAGTGAAGTTACCAGGTCTTAAATTCTATTTTGACCCTAGGGCTATAATTTGAACAATCTTGGTAGAGTTCCACTACACAATGCCTCATGCCAAATATCTAACCTCTAGCCTTTGCCAATTCAGAGAAAAAATGTTTTAAGTTTTTACTTTATAACATTGACCCCCTGGTGCGGGGCCAATTTTGACCCAGTGCTATACTTTGAACAGCTTTGGTAAAGGACATATAGACGATATTATATTCCAAAAATCTAAGCTCTAAGCCTTGTACCTTCAAACAAGACGATTTTTTAAGTTTTAATTATATACATATTATGAAAACCTATGACCCCCTGGGGAGGGGCCAATTTTGACCCAGGGCTATAATTTGAACAACTTTGGTAAAGAAACTATAGGTGATACTACATACCAAATATCTAAGCTCTAAGCCTTGTTCCTTCCGACAAGAATATCTGTTAAACAAGAGGGTCATGGTGGCCCGAAGTCGCTCACCTATATATAGGCCCTTGGGCCTGCTAATTTTAACCCTGGGGCTTTATTTTAACGAACTTGGTAGGCACCCATTAGAAGATGTTTCATGATAAATAAGCTCTAGCTCTTGGGGTTTTCAAAAGAAGATATTTTAAGTTTTTACTATAGACATAAAAGGAAAATCAGAACCCCGGGCAGGGCCAATTTTACCCTTGGGCTTTTATTTGAACAAATTTGGTAGACACTCACTAGAAGATGATTCATGTTTAATATCTAAGCTCTAGCTCTATGGGTTATTTAAAAGAAGATTTTTAAAAGTTTTTACTATAGACATATAAGGAAAATCAGTACCCCTGGGGCGGGGTCAATTTTGATCCCAGGGCTTTTATTTGAACAAACTTGATGGACACTCACGAGAAAATGTTTCATGCTTAATATCTAAGCAAACAATAATAATGTTGACCCCAGGGCTAAAATTTGAACAATTTTGGTAAAGGACCTATAGGTTATATCATATACCAAATATCAAAGCTCTAGGCCTTGTACTTTCAGACACAATATTTTAATTTTGCATTTTTGAAACTCCTTTTCTGGCCCTGTGACCTACTTATGCAACAGACCGGAACCATTTGATCAAATTTTGCAGGGGACCACCCTAGGATCATTCCTATAACGTTTGGTTAATGTGCAGTCATTTTTTTCTGAGGAAATGTTGTTTAAAGAAATTGCTGACGACGCACAACGACGGACGGTGGGGGATCACAATAGCTCACCTAGATGTAAAAACATCTTAATCTCCAGACTTTATTGCCATTTTCAAGGCATCAAGAAGGGATCTCACAATTTTCAAATATTTTTAAATGTTATTGTAACAAATCATTTTAATTCTTCTTTAATAAAAACTAGAAATGTGTCCATAGGACACGGGTGCCCCCAGGGCGCCACTGTTCTGTCAATCATATGACTCTAGGTCAAATATTTTTTGAAAACTAAAAATCTTTTTACTAAGTGAAGGGCAAGAACTTTACAAATACTGAATATATCCCCAAGCAAACCCCAAGTTGAAAATTGCAAATTTAAACTACTGTAATTCAAGGGCAATAACTCTAACAAAACTGAAAAAAATCCAAATGCAAAGTCCCAGGTTCATAGCTTCACAGTGAGGTGAATCATTATTCCTGTAATTTAGTGATGTTGATCATTATTCCTGTAAAGTTTGTCGATTCTAACTCAAGCACTCAAGGATCAAATAACAACATAATGAAACAGTTTTTACTAAGTCAAGGGAAATAACTTTACAAATACTGGGTAAATCCACAAGCAAAACCCCAGGAACAAACTAAATATGCTGAGCAACTTTCCAATAAGGTTTAATGACTCTATGTGAAATCGTTTTTGAGTTACATGCGACACATGTTGAAAATTGCAAACATTTTCTAAGTCAAGGGCAATTACTCTAAAAATACTAAATAAATCCAGACGAAAATACCCAGGTGCACAACTTCACATGCTGATCAACATTCCTGTAAAGTATTATGACTTTGGGTCAAATACTTTTGAGTTACATGCGACACAAGTTGAAAATTGCAAAATTTTACTAAGTCAAGGGCAATAACTCAAAAAATAGTAAAAATATCCGGACAAAAATACCCAGGTGCACAACTACACATACTGATCAACATTCCTGTAAAGTTTCATGGCTCTAGGTCAAATACTTTTTGAGTTACATGCGACACAAGTTGAAAATTACAAAATTTTACTAAGTCAAGGGCAATAACTCTAAAAATACTAAAAATATCCAGACGAAAATACCCAGGTGCACAACTTCACATGCTGATCAGCACCCCAAAAAGTTTCGTTGAATTCCAGCCATTAGTTGCAGAGAACTACTCCGGAAACGAAATTCGGACGTTTACTAAGTCAAGGGCAATAACTCTAAAAATACTAATAATATCCAGACAAAAATACCTAGGTGCACAACTTCACATGCTGATCAACATTCCCATAAAGTTTCGTTGAATTCCAGCCATTAGTTGCAGAGAACTACTCCGGAAACGAAATACGGACGTTTACTAAGTCAAGGGCAATAACTCAAAAAATACTAAAAATATCCAGATGAAAATACCCAGGTGCACAACTTCACATGCTTATAAACATTCCCATAAAGTTTCGTTGAATTCCAGCCATTAGTTGCAGAGAACTACTCAGGAAACGAAATTCAGACATTTTACTAAGTCAAGGGCAATAACTCTCAAAATACTAAATATATCCAGACGAAAATACCTAGGTGCACAACTTCACATGCTGATCAACATTCCCATAAAGTTTCGTTGAATTCCAGCCATTAGTTGCAGAGAACTACTCCGGAAATGAAATTCGGACGGACGGATGGACGGACGGACGGACAACGCCAAAACTATATCCCCCTCCCGATTCCATCGGCGGGGGATAACAAAGTTGGTAGACACTCATTAGACAATGTTTCATGCCAAATATTTAAGCTCTAGCTCTTTCAGTTTTTTAAAAGAAGCTTTTTTAAGTTTTTACTATATACATTTAAGGAAAATCAATGAGCTAATTTTGACCCCAGGGCTTTTATTTGAACCAATTGATAGACACTCACTAGAAGATGTTTCATGCCAAATATCTAAGCCCTAACTCTTTGGGTTTTTTAAAAGAAGATGTTTAAGGTTTTACTATATACATGTACATATAAGGAAAATCAATGACCTCCCCCCGGGGCAGGGCCAATTTTGATCCAAGGGCTTTTATTTGAACAAATTTGGTAGACGAGCATCAGACTATATTTCATGTCAAATATTAAAGCTCTAGCTCTTTCAGTTTGTTTTAAAAGAAGATCTTTAAAAGAAGATCTTTTAAGGTTTTACTATATACATATAAGAAAAAGCAATGACACCCTGTGGCGGGTCAATGTTTCATGCCAAATATCTAAGCTCTAGCTCTTTCAGTTTTTTAAAAGAAGAATTTTAAGTTTTTACTATATACATATAAGGAAAATCAATGACCCCCTGTGGTGGGGCCAATTTTAACCCCAGGGCTTTTATTTGAACAAACTTGATAGACACTCACTAGAAGATGTTTCATGCCAAATATCTAAGCTCTACCACTTTGTTTTTTTTTTAAAGAAGATACTTAAAGGTATTTTTTCTTTTGGTTGCCATGGCCACCAGAGTTCTGCATGGAATTAAATTCTTTGAACAATTTATAAAGGTAACCACCAAAGGACCATTTCAGTGAAGTTTGGATGACATGGGCTTAGCTGTTGATGAGGAGATGTCATTTAAAATAAAAGTTTACGGACGGACGACAGACGGACGAAAAGTGATCACAAAAGATCACCGTGTCACTTTGTGACAGACGAGCTAAAATGTTTTATACACATATAAGGAAAAACTTTACAAAAAACTTTCACCAATGCAGACGCCGACGCAACTGCAATAGCTCTCCATATTCTTTGAAAAGTCAAGCTAAAAATTATGATCAAAGTTACAGTTTTCGGACGGCAATGACTGTTACAACACGTATTTTTTTTTCATAAAAAAGTCGAGCTAGAATCATATTTACCTTTAACATAAAATAAGTGCTCCTTATGAAGGTACTGAAGTTGTTGATGTTTTGATAAATTTACACCATGCTGGTTCTCACACTCACATTTAGCATTATAAAGATGTATTTGTTCAAGATGACTGGTTCTCTCAAGAAAATTACAAAATGTAGTAGTATCATCATGACTCATTGTTATACCACTCATACTTATTGCTACAAGATTGATCATACTAGGTAGGTTACTAACAACTGTTTTACACACTGGGTAATACTTGTCAGTGTAAGAGACACATCAAGAGACAGAGATTTTAATGTTAAAGTATTTACTTTAATTGTCTCAGAAACACAATTGTTTATCTCATCAATCATCTGTTCATTACTCTGTGTACTATCACTTTGTGTACTTGATAACCTTTGTGATTCAAATTCATATTTTATTTCAATTTTTTCAAGATGATGAAACATTGGTAAATATTTTGTAAATTTAACATTTTTTGTGTTGATGTCATCTACATAAATAGACAGAACAGAGTCAGGAACAATTTGATGCTGATCAATACTTGAACAAACAATATCACAATCATCACTATCATCAATGACCAAATCTCCTATATAAAATACAGGATTACTTCCTATACTACATGCTGCATTTAATTCTTCCATTGACTCAAACATAAGCTTTTGAATATCAGTAATACAACGATGATCCTATAAATGTTACTACTTATTGTTCTCCTGTATTCCTGAACACGAGAGTCTTCTGACACAGTATCATATATGTATTTTGAAACATGTGTTGCTAATCTAGATTCTAGACCACATAGCATAATGATGACATTTGACTGCTCTAATATGTCATTTACTGTTGAACAATTCCGAAAAACCTCACAAATAAACTTTTTGACTAATTCAACATTTCCTGTACTATCTGACAACCCAATTTTTGCATTGAAATTGATGCCAATATTCACTGCAGCCAGAAATTCTTGCATTGATTTGTGAATAAAAGAGAACAATGAGCTTGATGGTTCTGATACAGATAAACTTGGACATTCATCTTCTGTAATTATTCCAAGTTTCAAGCAATTTTCTCTTACTTCATCTGATATTTCTAGTTCATCAAACATACAAATGTCAAATGTCAAGGATTTATCCTTCGGACAATTAAATAGTGTCTCATAAGCCAACCGTGATACTTCATAAATGAAATGGCGGTTTAATCTTAATTTGGTTTTATCGGCTAAATATTTAGGAAGATCTACTTTCTGGGTCCCCTTCATGAGTCGAGTACTTGTTCCTGTAGTTTTCATGTCATTCCAGGTGAAGAATAATTCTAACATACTGGTGTAGATGGCACATCTTGAGGTTTTATCGAGTTTACCGTCAAACCATAGACAAATCAGTTGTTGTAGCATAATTGGTACCTGTTTTAAATTTTTCAGAGACTTTTCTGTTAGCTTTTGTTTACAAACCCAGGCAGATTTACTAGCATGTCTGCTGGAATTTAATTGAGAGACTGTTCTATCTACCATTTCCCTTTCACATCTAAAATCAAACCCTTTCAGTTTCAGCGACTGTTCAATCTCCACATCACTTGAACTTAATGCATGAAATTTCCATGGCCGCGAAGTAGTTACTATTGTGTACTCCTTAAAGATACTATGTTCTGGGACATTTTCAGAGGACCATTCATCTAAGCCATCAAGCAAAATCATAACCCTAGAGGATTCCTCTTCAAGAAGTGTGTTTAACATTTTCATTTGATAACGTTTTAGAAGCATTTCATCAATAGTGTCAATGTTTTGATTATACTGTCTTAGAGGGATGTAAAATACAAAGTCAAATTTCTTCATCTCTTTTACACCATTGAATTTCAGTTCATAATTTTTGCTATCATATTCAGAGTCATCACTGTCAAATTCAGAGTCTGTTAAGTCACCATCAGAGCCGTCACTATGGGATTCATTTAAGATATCATCAGACTCATAATTGTGGGACTCGGAGTGTATTAAGCCAAAACTGTTATCCTGAATGTCATCACTGTCACTTCCATTTTCCTTAATGTCACCCACATGTTTTTCATTTCCTCGTTTATCATTAATACCTGGATGTGTCTTACTGCTCTCTTCGTTTTCAATGTCTCTACTATGTTTCCCCTTTACCTCTTCGTTTACAATATCATTTCCCCTTTTTGAATGTTCTTCAAAACCAATTTCATCGACACCTCCAGCTCCATGTGTTTCATGTCCTTCATTATCGCCTCTTTGTTTACCATTGCCATCTTTGTTTTCATTGCCAGCTTCATATTCCTCACTATGTGCCAAACACCAACAGTTGACCAGATATTTACAAAAACTAGTTTTACCTGACCCTGCATCTCCTAGAACATATACAGATTTTTGTGGGACTCCCTCCTTTGTGAAGATTTCTGAGATTGTTTTAACCTCCACCTCCTTTGTCTCCCCCTTTTCTACTTTTATTTCCCTCGTTATTTTGGGTCTAATATAAATCTCATTAAAGCTACATTTTTCACTTTTTGGTTGTAAAGGTGTTGTAGGAACTTGCAGCAGGGTTTTGTGATACTGTTCTATCAGCTTTTCTCGCCATTCTGTAATTTAAATGATAATATGACATCAAATTATAAAGGACAAATCAATGAGTAAATGATACAAAAAATAAGTATAGACCTGGACAGATTATCACAGAAATATATAAAAGAAATAGAACACATCATTGGGGGCCTCATTGAAATGTAAAGACAAATCAGTAAGTCAGCAAATATTGAACAGACTGAAGCTAGTTAATGACAACAATCAAAAGATTAAGCCTTTTCATGTCCTATACAAAATACCTAATTTATCCCTTTTATATTCTATGTAACATAACTGATTTACCTTTTTCATATTCTATATAACTTGCCTGATCTCGCCTTATCATATTCTATATATCATACCTGATTTAGCCATTTCATATCCTATATAACATACATTATTTAGCCTTTTCATTATTATTTAAATCACATACCTGATTTAGCTTTTACATATTCTATATAACATACCTGATTTAGCTTTTACATATTCTATATAACATACCTGATATCGTCTTTTTCATATTCTATATAACATGCCTGATCTCACCTTATCATATTCTATATATCATACTTGATTTAGCCTTTTCATATCCTATATAACATACATTATTTAGCCTTTTCATTATTATTTAAATCACATACCTGATTTAGGTTTTACATATTCTATATAACATGAAACCTGATATCGTCTTTTTTCATATTCTATATAACATGCCTGATCTCGCCTTATCATACTCTATATATCATACCTGATTTAACGTTTTCATATCTTATATAACATACGTTATTTAGCCTAATCATTATTATTTAAATCACATACCTGATTTAGGTTTTACATATTCTATATAACATACCTGATTTAGCCTATTTTACATTCTACATGTATATAACATAACTGATTTAGTATTTTCATATTCTTAATAACATACCTGATTTAGCCTTCTCATATTTAATATACCATTCCTGATTTATCCTTTTTAAATTCTATATACCATACCTGTTAAAACATTTAACATTCTATATAACATACCTAATTTAGGCTTTTCATTTCCTGATTAAGTCTTTTCATATCCTATATAACATACCTGATTTGGCCTTTTCATATTCTATATAAAATACCTCATATAACCTTTTTTATATTTTAAATAACATGCATGATTAAGTCTTTTCATATTCTATATAACATATATGATTTGGCATATTTCATATTATATATAACATTCCTGATATAAACTTTTCATATTCAAAATAACATCCCTAATTTGGCCTTATCATATTCTATATAATATACCTGATTTAGCCTTTTTTCATATTCTTTATAACAAATCTGATTTAGTCTTTTCACATTATATATAACATAACTGATTTAGCTTTTTCATATTCTATATAACATGATTGATTTAGTCTTATCGTATTATATATAACATTCCTGATTTAGTCCTTTCATATTCTATATAACATACCTGATTTCCCCTTTTCATATTCTATATAACATATTTGATTTTGCCTTTTCATATTCAACATAACATATTCTGATTTAGTCTTTACGTATTCTATATAACATACCTGATTTGGCCTTTTCGTATTAGATATACAATACGTTATGTAGCCTTTTTTATATTCTATATAACATATCTGATTTAGTCTTTTCATATTATATTATATATAACATTCAATATTTAGGCTTTTCATATTCTATAGAACATACCTTATTTAGTCTTTTCATATTCTACATGACATTACTGATATAACCTTTTCATATTTTATATAACATATCTGATTTAGTCTTTTCATATTATATTATATATGACATACCAGATTCAGCATTTTCATATTCTATATGAAATTCCTGATTAAGTCTTTTCATATTCCGTATAACATACCTGATTTGGCCTTTTTATATTATATATAACATACAAAATTTAGGCTTTTCATATTCTTTATAACATACCTGATTTAGTCTTTTCATATTGTATATAACATACCTGATATAAGCTTTTCATATTTTATATAACATGCATGATTTAGCCTTTTTCATATTCTATATAACATACCTGCTTTATTAGCTTTTTCATATTCTATATACATTTGTCACATACCTGATTTTGCCTTTTTATACTCTAACTGTTTTTGTTGAGGAGAATCTTCTACCTTGAGTCTTTTTATCTCCTACAACATAAAAAAATAATGCAAATAACTGTGTTTTATTCAGTTTTTTTTAAACTATCTATTGTATAATGTTATATACATGTATTGGTATTTCCAGTCAGTCTCTTTCACATACAGTGAATATATCTAAAAAACATCAAATCAAATTTCAGTCAATGAAAATCAATTTCATTGCACAGGATGATTTCTCTACTAAGAATTTTTCATTTTGACATTTTTCGTGCAATCATACATGAACATAATTTTACTATTTAAGATAAATACTTGGGCTGTATCACCATATTTCAAGTTTTATAAAATATTTTCAGTAGTTTTCGAGTTATCTCAAATATTGTTCTACTTGCCATATTTTTGTCAATTTATCTGCTAATAAGAACTAATTTTTTCACATAATAGGAAGTAAAAAGACTGCCATCTAGCCATATCAGTTTCATAAAAAAATTTAAACATATTTTGCGATATCATAGAATTCAGTTTTGTGGATGGATGTTTGGAGATACGGAAGTAAACCTTAAGTACCCTGCAGTTAAACTGTTAGCGGTCAGAGGCAGCATATCTCTATGATGAACACACAGTAAGCATTAAGGTAGTGCCATCAAGGACATTAGACACACCACCAACCAGGCCTCAAGCACCTCCAGGTTTACCAAGTTCAGATTACAAGTTTATATGATTAATATACTTGCATCATAATTTTATAGATCTTTTAGGTATGTTCTGTCCTGCGAATTCTTAACATGTGATTGTACAGGACAATATCAAGACCTTTGACCACGGAATCCGGGATTGTATCAAACATATGGGGAAATAAACTTGCTACTTTGGCTTGGATATTTGTAGTTATTTGTTGTCCTAAAATTATAATTGATCAATTATATCATATAATAATATGTCATGGCTGTAAAATAAATTTTAACTTAAGCTTGGAATTGGAAAAATTAATGATTCATTGAACCTAGTCCAGTATTAACTGTTTCCTTGAAATTTTACTTCATTTTTTTATTTACAATCTGGAGGCGAGTGCCTTTAACGAAATGATTAATATTCTTAAAATAAAATTTTGTCAACAGGTTAACAATCCCATTCAAAATAGGAAATGCTGTATATTTATTTTCATATAATGGTGATTCTGTCACCAGTTGTATTTTCTTATTTTCTTGTATGTATGATACATTATAACTCAGCAAAATTATTTTCTAAGCCATATTTCATTGCAGGTGTGAGTTTTCAACACAGCGCGCGTCGCCTTAATCGCCATTCAGACTATTACAAAACAGTATGATACTGACTTTTACAGAGATATTCCCTAAAAATCTGATAATAAGCTGTCTTGAAAACAAGCCAGTGTCTCAAAAACAAGCCACCATTTATTTACAGTCAAAATTTACTTAATTAAGACAGCCATGATGGCCCTGAAATTGCTCACCTGTATATAGGCCCCTGGGCCAAGGCTAATTTTTTCCCAGGGCTTTTATTTAAACAAACTTTGTAGACACCTACTAGAAGATGTTCATGCCTTATATCTAAGCTCTAGCTATTTGGGGTTTTTACTATAATATACAAATAAGGAAAATCAATGACCCCAGGGGAGGGCCAATTTTGACCCAATGGCATTTATTTGAACATACTTGGTACATACTGACAAGGTGATGTTTCATGCAAAATATTTAAGCTCTAGCTCTTGCGGTTTTCTTTTAAATTCTTTCTTTGGGTTGCCATGGCAACCAGGGTTCTGCTTGGAATTAATTATTTGAACAATTTTAAAGTTGACTACCAAAGGAACATTCCTGCTTAGTTTGGATGAAATTGGCTTAGTGGTTTATAAGGAGATGTCATTTAAAGTAAAAGTTTACGGACATCCGACCGGACGAAAAGCAATCACAAAAGCTCACCATGTCACTTTGTGACAGGTGAGTAAAATAGCATATCAAACTAGAACTGCCACTATCATGGCGTGAATACCCCCGCATACCACTTTGTCAGAATCAACAGTGGCCATTTAGAGCTCAAGGACAACCTCCCTGCCAAATCTGAGGTTACTAAGCCAGTGCATTGCTAAGTTATGTATTCTACATGCTTCAAATGTGAAAATGTCAAAATCAATACATTGCGGACAGGACATTCTCTAGCAATTGAGAAGAAAAGCTTTTTTTGTCAAGGTCCCTGTGACCTTGACCTTTGACCCAGTGACATCAAAATCAATAGGGGTCACCTTATAGTCATGATCAACATCCATGCCAAATATGAAGACTGTGGGTCAAAGGAATCTTAAGTTAATGGGTAGACAAACTTTTTGAAGTCAAAGTCCTTATGACCTTGACCTTTGATCCAGTGACCTCAAAATCAAAAGGGGTCATCTACTAATCATGATCAACATCCATGCAAAATATGAAGACTGTGAGTCAAAGGAATCTAAAGTTATTGGGCAGATAAACTTTTTGAAGTCAAAGTCCCTGTGACCTTGACCTTTGACCTAGTGACCTCAAAATCAATAGGGGTCATCTACAATCATGATTAATCTCCATGCCAAATATGAAGACTGTGGGTCAAAGGAATCTTAAGTTATTGGGCGGACAAGCTTTTTGAAGTCAAGGCCCCTTTGACCTTGACCTTTGACCTGGTGACCTCAAAATCAATAGGGGTCATCTACAAATCATGACCAACCTCCATGCAAAATATGACAACTGTAGGTCAAAGGAATCTTAAGTTATTGGGCGGACAAGCTTTTTGAAGTCAAGGCCCATGTGACCTCGACCTTTGACCTAGTGACCTCAAAATCAATAGGGGTCATCTACTAATCATGACTAACCTCCATGCCAAATATGAAGACTAAGGGTCAAAAGAATCTTAAGTTATTGGGCGGACAAGAAAAAACCGACGGCCGGACGGACAGCTGGGCGGACGGACAAGCTAATTCCAGTATACCCGATATAAAAATCGAACAGATTATCAAACGGTTAAAACATTTGGGGTATTTAGGCAGTGGTTCTACTGGCATCACAGGTATGTGGAACATGCATGGGCATACTTTGTAAATAAGAAAATTGCTCCATATAAAACTAGAACTGCCACTGTCTTGGCGTGAATACCCCCGCCTACCACTTTGTCAGAATCAACAGTGGCCATTTAGAGCCCTGCCAAAGCTGAGGTAAGTAAGCCAGTGCATTGCTAAGTTATGTATTCTACATTCTTCAAATGTGAAAATGTCAACATCAATACACTGAGGATCTTAAGCATTTGAACAAACAAGCTTATTGTAGTCAAGGCCCCTGTGACATTGACCTTTGACACAGTCACCTATAAATCAATAGGGGTTTTCTACTAGTCATAAACAACCTCAATACCAAATATGAAGACTGTTGACCAAAGCATTCTTAAGCAATTGAGCCAACAAGCTTTTTAAGGTCAAGGTCCCTGTCACCTTTGACCAAGTGACCTCAAAATCTAATAATCATAAACAACCTCAGTACCAAATATGAAGACTCAAAGGATTCTTAAGTCAATGGGCGGACAAGCTTTTTTAAACAAAAGCCTGCGTGTCACCTTGCCCTTTGACCTAAAAATCAGTAGGGGTTATCTTATAATCATGACTTACCTCCATGCCATATATGAAGACAGTGGGTCAAAGGAACATTAAGTTATTGGACAGACAAGCTTTTTTAGTCAAGGCCCGTCTGACCTTGCTTGACCTTTGACCCAGTGACCTCAGAATCAATAGGGATCATCTACTCATCATGATTAACCTCCATACAAAATATGGAGCCTGATGGTATAAGGAATCTTATGTTATAAGGCAGACAGGGTTTTTAAAAAAAGGCCCCTGTGACCTTGACCTAGCAACCTCAAAATCAATAGGGGTCATCTACTTATCGTGACTAACATTCATGCCAAATATGAAGACTGTGGGTCAAAGGAATCTTAAGTTATGTGATGGACAAGCTTTTTACAATCAAGGCCCTTGTGACCTTGGCCTTTGTCCCATCAACCTCAAAATCAATAGGGGTCATCAACTCATCATGACTAACCTCCATGCCAAATATGAAGACTGTGGGTCAAAAAAATTTTGGGCAAGTTATTGGGCGGGCAGGATTTTTTTCAGTCAAGACCCCTGTGACCTTGACCTTTGACCTCAAAATCAATAGGGGCCATCTACTCATCGTGACTAACCTCCATACAAAATATGGAGACTGTTGGTAAAAGTAATCTTAAGTTATTTGGCGGACAGGCTTTTTTCAGTAAAGGCACCTGTGACCTTCACCTTTGACCCAGTGACCTTTAAATCTATAGGGGTCATCTTCTCATCAGGACTAACCTCCATGCCAAATATGAAGACTGTGGTCAAATGAATTTTAAGTTTTTGTGTGGACAAGCTTTTTTCTTTCAAGGCCCCTGTGACCTTGGCCTTTGTCTCATCAACCTCAAAATCTATTGGGGTCATATACTCATCGTGAATAACCTCCACACCAAATATGAAGACTGGGTCAAAGGAATTTTAAGTTATTGGGCTTACAGGCTTTATTTAGTCAAGACCCTGTGACCATGACCTTTGACCCAGTGACATCAAAATCAATTGGGATCATCTACTCATCGTGAATAACCTCCACGCCAAATATGAAGACTGTGGGTCAAAGGAATCTTAAGTGATTGGGCGGACAAGGAACAAGAGGGCCATGATGGCCCTGAGGTCGCTCACCTGTATAAAGGCACCCGGAGCGATGCCAGTTGACAGCCCAGGGCTATTACTGTAAAACACTTATTTTTCGCGAGAACCTTATTTCGCGAATTTGAGGCAAAATGTCCAAAATAATTATTTCGCGTCAACATAAATTCGTGTTTTCCCGAAAAAACCCTTTGGCATTCGGATATTTTCTGTCCTGTCCGTTCACTTACGTGTAGTCGTTTATTGTGCGACGAATGCATTTATATCTGTATCGATCTTTCTGATAGCTTGCTTATCTTCATGTTAAGTGAAACCGTCTGTCTAAAAATATGTCAATAAA